CAAAACCTGTGATAAATCGAGTCTTCCGTCCAGTGCTATCACACACTTTCCCGTGATATGACTTCCCAATCCATACGTAGGATTATGGGAGTCCAACACTATTTCAAAATTAGTTAATTTAATTTTGTCCATGATTGTATTTTTGCTTAAAACTCAAACTCATTTCATGACATTTATTTCTTATATGGACGACTGTTTAAATAAGTATTTATAAATGTGTGAAAATAATTCCTGATTGTTTGAAGATTCAATAAAATGGCACTACATATAATTATAAAATGCTTATTAAAATAATTGATATAAAGTGGTGCTACTATTCTTGCGCTTAATAACTGAAATATTGTCAATAAAGTTAATAAACCGGTTTTAATGATAGAGATTTTAATAAAATTTCATTTGATTTGAGAAACAAAATGTGATTTTTAATATTGCAATCATTTCCAAATTAGCTAAATATGTTTATGTTTCCTATGACCTTGCATGGTTTTTCACATGAATTGGGGGATTTTATAATGAACAATAATTGGCAGTATTGTTGTACACCAGAGGTGTCCAGACATTATTTATTGATGTTTTTACAGGTAGACAATTTTAGAGTCAATCCTAATTAATATTATATTATTTGACAATTTTTATAATCCCTTTCATTATAAGCAATTAGTAATCCCTACTCATACATGTGTTATGGTATTTGTGATTAGTTTTTAATAAAATGATTACAAGTACTGTAATAATGCTCACTAAAATGCAATAACTTGACATTAGATCTGAAAATTATGTCAATTTATACCTAATAAAGGTATGTTAATTAGTTAAAATTTAGTCGATGATTAGTAAAACCGCTTGATTCTTATCAAAGATCACTATAAAAATGACAATCAATTAATAACCCATTACAGCATTGATTCTGATATAAGAATCTATTGGTATTTTAATAAAAACAATTAATATTGTGATTTTACTAAATTACAGTAAAAGTGTAATATTACGCTACATTACGTAATATTACACAAAAATTATATTACGCGTAAAATGACAACCTTACTTGCATTCAATACACAGGCAGTCAATACTGTTGTCGATATATTTTGTTTACATAACTATGTGGCCCGCAGTTGGCTCAGGCACTCATCTAGGTCACCTATTAATACGATATTCCGGTTAAAGAATTATCTAAATTAGCAATTATTATTAGGAATAAGAATAAAATATATATAAATTTTTAATAAAACAATTTAATAAATACAACTTATTCTCTCTGATAAAATTACATATCATAATAACATATAAACATAAAATTATTTGTTTTTTAATATTTAAATTTTTCAAATTTTATTTTAGATAATATCATGTAATTAATAAATAGTCAAAGTATAACGACATTGTTTATAACGACAATTACTGACTAGTAAGTAAATTCATATTCTTACATAAGTACAGGTATGTAATAATTAATTTTTAATTGGTTTTTAATAAAATATTTTTTATTTACATTTAATTTTTTATTATGAATTCTTGAAAATAAATACAAAATACTGATTTGAATAATAGTTACACTTATGAAGAATTCTTATAAAGTTTTGATTTCTATGTCATTTTATATTCAGGTTTATATGGCTTATACTGATTGACAATATTTTTAGTGGTGATCATAATGGGTAGATCCAAGTGTAGATCAATGGCTGATGGGATGTCAACAGTTAGATGCAAGTCATAAGAAACCGTTAGAATAGGACAGTCCACTGATATAGGAATATCAATGGGAATCTCCACCTGTATATAAAGTATTATAAAAATAAATATTACTATTCAATAAAATATGATAAATCAAAAATAATTACATTCTATTAACTAATATACCGTAAATATAATACAATTTTATTTAAAATAAATAATTTTACGTGAAATATATGAGTAGTGCTGTGTCCCGGTTCCGTTAGTAATCCCTCCAATCTTTGCTTTTTGACCGCATGTGTCGTTTGTCTTCGGACTGTCTTTTCATTATCCTTTGTGTCCGTTAATTGTTTAAAAGTCTGTATTTGTCTCAAAGTCACTCGTGGTATCACTCGTACGGATGATTTGTTGCTAACATTGCACACAATGGTCACAACTTCACCTTATGGTCAGATAATTACATTTATAACTTTATAAGCATTTAATAAATATTATACAATGCAAATCTCAATGTTTGTATGATTTGTATATGTTTGATTACCTGGATAATATGCGCATCTATCAATTTTAGCATTTATATCAATTGGTCCCGAATTATGAAATAAAAATTCACTTTTCGTACAATTCTTTTCTAGCGGTTCCTAAAATTGATAAAAAGGTTACAATTACCTCATAACTGAATATTATAATAAATAAGCCTTATATTTTTAAATACATACCATTAATTCGTTACAAATAAGTGGCACGGACACATTAAGTTCAGCCTTGGCTATTTTATTCTTTGAAAACATCGGTCTATGAATTTCCGCTTCAATCGAGTACTCAATTGATCCTGAATGCCCAATAAAACTCGATGCTATTCCCCTTTATTTTGATCAATATATTATTAATATTTAAAATATTCTTGCAATAAATACTGCATAATTATATTACAATAAATACGTACTCATGTGGTAATTGATAGGAAAATGGGAATTCATATGTGCCTTTCGATAGGATTTGACCGAACGCTATAAAATAATTATAAAATTAAAAATATAGATACTTTTATAATATTGTATGAAGCATGCAATTATTCTTAAAATCGTAATCCATTGCAAAATATTTAATTTGATCAGAATATGAGTTGTCGTCGTCTTCCGTCCAGTCCGTCCAGTCCATCCAGTCCTTCCAGTTCGTCCAGTCCGTCCAGTAAACACTGGCTAACCCTTTAAATCGCATCCTAACCTAAAAAATCGATATTTGGGTATACTAATTATATGCCATATACTGATTGACAATGTTAAGTGTGGTGATTATAACAGGTATGTTTACGTGTAGATCCCGTGCCGATGGGATATCAGCGGTAAGATGCAAGTCATACGTAACCATTAGAATAGGACAGTCCCCTGATATGGCCACATCAGCCGGAATCGGCACCTGTAGTCATCAAACATTTGTTGAAAATTAAATAACTGTATAACTAAATAAAAGTATTTCCACTAATTCACGCTAACATGTATATATTAAACTGGTAAATATAATTAGTTTTAAAAATAATATTACGTGAAATATATGGCTAGAACTAAGTCCTGGTTCTATCGCCATTCCCTCCAGTCGTTGGTATTTGATTTCACGTTTGGTTTGTCCAATGATTTTATTTTTTCTGATTACTATATAAGTCTGGGTTTGTCTGAGAGTCACTCGGGGTATGACTCGTGTGGACGACTGGTTACCAACATTACACACAACAGGTATGACTTCACCTTAGAGTCAAAATTGAGATTTTAAATTCAATATATTTTAACAGAATATTCTTGCATCAGATTATATATTGTTATAGATTATATATTATTTGATTACCTGGATAATATGCGCGTCTCTCAATCGTGCCATCCATATGAATTGACCCGGATTGAAGCAAAAGGTTACTTTTCTGGGCTATTACTTTTAGCGATACCTAAAATTATTTTGACATTCATTAGTGAATATTGTTTTAAAGTATACGTCATATAAACCATTAGATCGGGACAAACGAGAGGTATTTCCATTTTGATCTTAGTCGTGAGAAAATGGTTCAGGGCGTATAAAGGCTTCCGTATTTCTGCGTCAATCCAATATTTAATTTTTCCATGTATGCCTTTGAAGCTAGATGAAATTCCCCTTCATTGCAAAAATATACATAATTTAGTAAAATCTAATTAAAATTATTATTATTAAATAATAAATTATATAATACTCATGCGGTAGTGGGAAACTAAAGGGCAATTCATAAGTGCCATTCGATATTTCACTGAATGCTATAATATAATATAATTTGATATAAAAATGGCCATAGATAAATCAATTATTATACTGTGCAGGTAATGTATCAAACATACATGGATTATTTACTATGAAATTATAATCCATTTTTAAATATTGAATGTGCCCATAATATGTAGTGTTGCCTTCTTTCCATGATACATGAGCCAGCCCATTCAATCGTAGCCTTACCTAAAGTATAGACATTTGACTTATAGTTACTTTTTCTCAATAAACTCACAAACCTTTGATAAGTGAAGGGTGCCGTCCAATGCTATCACACACCTTCCCGTAATATTACTTCCCAAACCATAGGTAGGGTTTTCTGAATCAAACACTATTTGGAAATTTCTTAATTTAATTTTTCCCATTATTTAATTTTTATTGAACATTTAATTC